CTAATGGTGGGGAATTATGTCTTCATTTGTTAGTTGGTCAATAAATCAATTATGAGTATGTATGTTATTAAGTTCATTTTATTAATTTTGCTGAAGAATGTTTTAATCAGTGGGAGTGATCATTTAGAAAAAGATCATTAAGTTACTCCACTAAAGTTTATGGATTTAAATAGCTTCATACATCCTAAATTTGATTGTATGTCAAACAATAAGTCCATAAGATTCCACAAGTATTAATTTTGTATTTGTTTATATAAATTCATAAGTTCAAATTATTGAACATTTTGTTGTGCAACATATTTATTAAAATGTTGTAACAATATTGAGGAATTTATTAGAACAAAAGCATTTAACTTGTTGTACACTGTCATTTAATAAATTCTTCAGTGATGAATAGAGTCTTTAGTTTCTTCAAAATTGATCCTGGGCCATTTTGATTTGTAAGGCTCAAAATAATTTTGTCGGACATATAAGTAAGACTCATTATGTTCGGTTTAAAGTGAACATTGAAGTTATTTGGGAAGTTATGGTGTATGATTAAGATTCCAATTTTATGGACTTAGACCTTTGGTTTATTGTCTAAGTTATTGGAATGCTTCTGTGACTTGGCTATCTTTTGGCTATTTTTGATGAGTGGGAGTGACAGACGTGTCAACTCCAAGCTCTTAGCTGTTAGAGATAGTACTTAAAGTTAACTTATAAAGAAGTCATGGAATATAGTTAGCATTATGCTAACATTAAGAGATCTCTACTTAAGGCATGCTTATAAAGTTTTAGAGATCATACAGTGTACTCTTTTGTACAATTTGGATGCGTTTTCTCCTTCAGTTGTGCACATAATGTATTTTGAGAAACATCCCTTAAGGTACCGAGAATAAACGTAGGGTTTGTTCATTAAGGACCTAAGTTGGAGAATTAAAATGCATGTGACCATAATGGACACTACTCTGATTAAATAGAGGACATATCACTATGATTCGTGTGTTTTGTTCTTTGATGAAGGTTGTGCTAGTACTTGCACCAAGTGGGAGAATGTAAGATTTTCCCTAATAATATATATTATATATTATATATTAGGGCCTTAATTAAGTGGTGCAAGTTGACTAGGCTTATTAAGTGGTCTGGTTGGACTTAATAACTAGTAGTTGTTAGTCAACCAAACTCTGTGCCTAATATAACCTGGATTGATGGGATACAGGATTATGGATTAGACAGCACATTCAGTTACGGTACTCAGACCGCTCAGTAGACACCAATACACCATCTAGGGTTCTGAGTCAGGTCTGAGGCAAAACATGGCTAACGGTCTACCGTTAAGAGGCAACACAACAGGAACATCAACTATGGCTGGAGATCAACACGGCTACGCTTCCGCTATCATACGAGGTTAGGTTTCTCGTATACTATAGTTCAGTATAATTAGATTATTGTATATCTAACATGATAGTCGTCGAGGTTGAATTATTAGTCTATTCTTGCAAGAAATATAATGTTGATACCAATTCGATCTTGACATCACCTTCATTTCCATCCCTTAACAATGTATCTTCTTTCAAATCAATTTTTTTTATTGCGTTATTGCTTTAAAAAAAAAAAGGTGAAATTCGCTCATCCCGAAAGCTCCCCTCATGTTCTGACGTGAATTATGTGATAGGATAGTAGTGGTAAATCAGGGTGACTCGGCGACCATTAGATGGGAGAACCAGTGTCTGGAGCTCACTATATTGGACGTAACTCTCACATTATAACTGTCAAGATTCGATAGGATGGATTATATGTCATTGCCCACACGGCCACACCCAAACACCTTGTGCTCAGATGGCACCTCAGTGGCTCCCTGGAGGGAATGTCACAGGATCGAGCCTGGTGGTGGAGTATTGACTCTTTGGGTTGCATTAGTTAGAGAAAGTATAGAACAGATACTACCTTGTAATAGAGTTAATAGTGTTCAAAAAAAAAAATGTCATTGCCCACAATTTATTACCCACAAATTAATTAGCTTTCCCTGTGTGCCAAATTAAATCAATGCTAATTAATGCCGTATGAAAAATAAAAATAAAGTTAAAGAATATGAAATCTGAATGTTGTGTCTTTCAATCGTGAGACTTTATATTTATCTAAAGAAGCATGACCAACAAAGAAAGAAGAAATTCTATTTATATTCAAGCAAGGAAGAAAGTTAAAGGAACATTATTGGATGGATTATATATAGAAATGCTAGCTACATATAGAATAATCCATGCCATTAGTATATATAAAGAAAGTTCCTGATTTCATTATATTGATGTTTGTCAAGACCGAATAACTTTCATCATTATGCTATAATATATATATATATATATATATATATATATATATATATATATATATATATATAAAGTTATTTGTATAGCCGTTAGGGCCGCTATAATCTTCTTTACACTTATATAGAAATCAGCTACTTGTATAACAACTAGCATCACGATTGATCCATCATATCTTTGAGCATTGATCACTAACTGAAAAATAATCTCATAAGGTTATTATTTTTTCTGATTGTTAGACAGTATGCTACTTGCTAAATATCTTCGGGATTGATTTATCTTATGTTGGCTGTGTTATTGATTTTTGTAAGGAATTTTCTCGACACTTTGAGACAATGTCCTTTCAGATTACTAGCTTGGGGTTTTATCCTTCAATTGTATTAGTAGCAATATCTCTTAAACTTAAACGTGACATTAATAGATTACTTGGGGTTTTATCGCATCATAATAGCATACCAAGATAAATAATGAATTACCTTTATTTAATGGTCCTATTTGGTAAAATAGTTAGCATATCAGTTCAATTTTGATTAGTTTGATCACTATTAGCTGTTTGACTTGATTAAACAATCAATATGAGTGTTTGATTAGTTAATTTTTTTGTAAAGGCTTATTGCTCTAAAACACTAAAATTCAAAAAGCTGTTCAAAACAGCTTTTTTGATCATTTTTTGAGATTCATTTTTTTATGTAATTGCTAATATCTAATTTATCAAACATCTTTGTATAATCAGTTAATGTTATCAACTAATCAAACTCACTAACCCGATCAACTAATAGCTATCAGCTAATAACTATTTACCAAACACCCAATATCTTTTTAAAAAAAATGGGTGTAGCCAAATATTAATATTCCCCCTACTAGTGTACCATTAGAGAGCAAATGGAGCCCTTCCTTTACCACCTTTCGGCCGATCAGGTGCTGTATGTGTTGGCTGAAGAATCTTATGATTTTGTTTATTATTATTGTTGTTAATTTTTTATATACCATAATTTTTTTTAAACTTGAGCATTTGTTAGAGTCATTATAGGGATACAAAAAAATGTGTGAGCTAAGATGATTCTTGAAAATGTAATATTAATTTATGCATATATCAAATTTTTACTAAAAAAAATATTACCCGGTTCTTGTAGGTAATTTCATACTAGACCAACCAGAAAATTAACTCTCCAAACATATATTACACACTAACGCTATTAATAAAATTGAATTTTAAATTTTTATTTAAGAAAAATTAAATTTATTGGAGATAATCCTAATCAAGTTGGTTGAATAATTAACTTTATAATTATAAAATTCTAAATTATATTATTTATAAAAATTATTTATTAACCTTCTTAGTTTAAACAAATGACTCCTATAAGTAATCAAAGCAGATGGCAGGGCCTTCCCGTAAAATCAAAGAATCAAACTTATTATTATTACTAGCATTTTGTACGCACGATATACGAAAATTCATGCCCAATATTAAAACATTGATAAATACAAATAATTAAAAATTATAGTTGAATTATATATACACAAATAATATATGTATTTTGTAGAGACACATATATGGTTTATAATTCATAAAAATTTAATTGAAATATAATCCATCATTAAATTAATTTTGTCAAAAAAAAATTCATTAAATTAATTATATAATGATTTTAATAAAATGATAATTAAAAGATAGGAAAAAGATATCATAGATATAGGTCCTGTTTGGTAAAATATTGGCCTATAGGCCAATTTTGGCTTATTTGACCACTATTAATTGTTTGATTTAGTTAAAATATCAATATAAATGTTTGGTTAATTAACTTTTTGCAACTCCAAAAGGTTAAAATTCAAAATACTACTCCAAGCAACTTTTTCAATTAGCTTTTTGAGAAAAAAAATTATACCAAACAGCTATAAGCTAACAGCTAATTTACCAAACACTTTTCTACAATCAGCTAATGTTATCAACTATTTATACCCTCTAACTAACACAATCAGCTAACAACTAACAGCTATCAGCTAACAGCCATTTTACCAAACAGGGCTATAGGTGCATGGTAATAATGATGTAGTTATAAATGTTAAAGAATTAAAAAAAAAAAAAAGTAATGATGTTATAACGGTGTAAGGGTAGTTTTGTCTATTAACATTGAAGTGTACAACATTTAAAATAAAATGTATATATCTATTAGCATACAAAAAGAGAGACATAAATCAAGGATATAACATTAATTGAGACTTATTATATTTTTAGATTTAGATTATCCTTATTTATTTATTTTGTGGAGATCAAAGCTCACTATAAAAAGGCTTTCTTACGTCAACCATAGCGCAATATTGTGGGAACCGTACCGTACGCGGTTTACGTGGATTGTAACTTACCTCTTTTTTTTTTTTTTTTTTTTTTTTTTTTTTTTTTTTTTTTTTTTTAATTATAAGGGAAAGGGGATACCAATATATATAAACTACTTTATTAAATGTCACCTCCCAGAAGTAACTTGTTAACAAGCGTGTATATACAAACTAGGAGTGAATTCCATTTTTGGTCCTACTGTTATAGGGATCTTTCCACTTTTAGTCCACCATAATTTTTTTTGCCACATTACACCCACTGTTAATAAAATCGGTCCAATTTTAGTCCACGGTAGACTTTCCGTCATCTGGCCGTGATTTCAAGGGGTATTTCCGTCATTCTCTTTTGTTTCTTCTATTTTCTTGATTTTTTTGATTTATGGACAAGGGTCGGGGGTTGACCCTCGAGAATCCTGATCAGCGCGCTAGGTTCTTCACGAACAAGCCGGTTTTTGGGTTTAATCTGAGCCCACGCTTGAATCCGATTTACGCCAGCAGTAGTAGTGCTGCTGGCATGGTATGGTTACGATTAACCTCGACGTCGAGAAACGTGAGCCGCCCAATGAAGTTGACTTCTTCTCCGACAAGAAGGCTGATATCGTCATCAAGAAGGAGATAACCTTGCACGGCGAACCCGTCACCAAAGCTGATTTGAATGGAAATGTAATCATTTCATTTCTGGGTCGTTGAAAAACCAGTAAAAATCGATGCTTTTCTCAATTCTAACATTTCCGGTAACTCATTCGCAGACTGGTTTGCAACTGGCAATTGCCAACGCCGGGAGCAATAAATCCATGGTGGATGACATTGTTTCATCGGATATGGAGGAGCGACGAGCCAATAATGATGTAAGAAAACAATCATAAACCTTTCAATCATAAACCTTTGAACAGTTCGTCGTATGATTTTTTTTTTTTTTTGGTATGTCGTATTAATAATTCATATATGTATCTGGCCTGCAGCTGTCAGTGTTGCAAGTGGAGCTCGAAAAGATGAACGCTGAGAATCAGAGATTGCAAGGAACGACAGTTCCTGGAGTTGGTTCCCGGCGGCCGTGCGGCGGCGGGTCAGATAACAGATTAGCCGTTGCAGTCTCATACTTCATCGGAGGAAAGAACACTGTCTGCGGGTTCTCCCAGGAACTACACAGAATTGTCGAGGCATAAAGGGATTGCCAGGGAAGACAATCCAGATTCAGAAAGGTGGGCTCCTAATAAACTCCCAAAGTTGAATTCTTCCAAGTCTGTTGATCAAGCTATCGAGGTTACCGTGAGGAAAGGGAAAAGAAATGTCGTCAACAGCTTAAGGGAGAAGAGAAACAAAAGAGAATGACGGAAATACCCTTGAAATCACGGCAAGATGACAGAAAATACTAACTTGGACTAAAATTGGAACAATTTTATTAACAGTGGGTGTAAAATGGCAAAAAAAAATTATGATGGACTAAAATTGGAAAGGCCCCTATAACAGTAGGACCAAAAATGGAATTCACTCTACAAACTAGTATATATAATACGTGATAAGTGGTACAACCCACTATTCATTAAGTCATATTAAATTCGATAAATAAATTTTATTTCATAAAATATATTCTATTATGTTTTACTGGCACTCAAGTAGATAGAGAAAAGGGTCAAATAGACCCCTAAACATTACCCTAAAGGTCAATTAGCCCCCTAAACTTTTAAAAAGGTCAATTAAACACTCAAACATGCTAAATTTGGTCAATGAAGCCCAAACCGGCGAATTTTTCCGGCGGCCGGCGAATTAATTTTCCGGCCGTCCGGTCGTCTTCCGTCGGAGAAGACGACCGGACGGCCGCCTTCTTCATTGGAGAAGGCGGCCGTCCGGTCGTCTTCTCCGACGGAAGACGACCGGACGGCCGGAAAATTAATTCGCTGGCCGCCGGAAAAATTCGCCGGTGGCCGGATTTCGTTGCCGGAATTAAAATGACCGGTAAAAACAGGTTATTTATCGGTTTTTGGGCTTCATTGACCAAATTTAGCATGTTTGAGTGTTTAATTGACCTTTTTTAAAGTTTAGGGGGCTAATTGACCTTTAGGGTAATGTCTAGGGGTCTATTTGACCCTTTTCTCCAAGTAGATATAAAAATACAAACGAGTCGAGCCATTTATGAATTGTTAATGCCCAAAGATTGTATTTAAATAAGTAATTTCAATACCCAAAGATTGTATTTAAATAAGTAATTTAAAGTGCAAGATTATATAGGAGAAATTTATTATAGTTGTTATTAAAATTAATATTTAATTTGCATTTTTTTTTAAAAATAATTATCAAGATATATACTTATTGTAATTGGTATGGTATTAAGTAGTAGATACTACTTTTGGATGAAATTATTTTAAATTTTGTTAATTCGCTATTGGATAGATTTATTTGTCATTGTCTTCGCCATCATTGCTTATCGCTTCTTTTTTGTTGGTAGTGTCTCATGCATGTGTAATGGGGTTACTGCCTTACTGGGGCTAGTTTTCAAAAAAAAAAATCAGCTTTTGTCTAATTAGTTTTGTGTGTGTGTGTGTATATATATATATATAATGCTATCCACCCCTCCTAATCTCTCTCTTGACATAACACTTTTCATTTAATATAATGATTTAGTCTTTAATAATAAGTTAATGTAATAGAGCTAGTAGCATTCAAAAAAAAAAAAAAAAAAAAAAAAAAGTTAGTGGATCTCAATTCTTGATATCAAATTATTATAAGTCATGTTATGATGAATTTCAAGTACGATTGCGGGGGAGGGGGAGGGGGAAGAATTTTTATTTGTGCGGATGTCTGAGCGCATAATTTAATATTTTTTTAAAAAAAAAGAAAAAGAAAAACGCAATCTCAACTAAAAATTCAAATTGATAATTGAAATGTACATTTATGTTTTATATTATATTATTATACGCTAAACAATTATTTCTTGATTCTGAAGTAAAGCATCCCTTTCCTGTAACTTTCCAAGAAAAGGAAGAAGAAAAAATAAATAAATAAATAAATAAATAAAGAAGAGAGTAAAGACTAAAGAGGTTTGAATTAAGCAGTAGTACAGTTGAGACTACAACACACGTACTCGAAAATCTTAATGTGGGAATTTTTGCCTTACTTACTGCCAACAACCTAGTACCTCTTTGGATTTCATATTTCAACCCATCATGCTCAAATCTCTCTTTTTTGCTTTTTATCAATGAAACTAAAGTGCCTCCACAATTCTTCATCATCTATCTCAATTTAAAAGAACCCTCCAATTTATTTGATCTCCCCAATTCAATTCAGCCATCTATCTAAGCTGTTAATTGTTATTAGGGTTTGAATTTTTTTTTTATTTTTACCTAGCTTTATCCTCGGTTCCCTCTTCCCTATTATGCTTTGCTTTGGATGAGAGGAAGTTTCCTATTCTATTTTAATTAATTTTTTGAATGCTACTGTCTCTGTTATAGTGTAGTATCTATTCATATACTTTCTCAACCCAGTGAAACAATAACGCCTCCACTGAGGCTCAAACTCACAGCCTTCCAAATGGAAGTCCAACCCGGGTACCTTTAGACCACATAGTCTTGGTCTATAAAAGTAGAGTTAATTTCATTTTTTTCCCTAAATTTATAGGTGACAATCTACTTTTAGTCATTTTTATCAGAACATTCATTTTTTGTCATAGTATTATTGTGACATGACCAATTTTGGTCCTTTATAAAAAAAAAAAAAGCATTCAAATTTCGTTAAATACAAAGGCATTTCGCTCTTTAATTATGATTTTTTTCAAAAAAAAAATAAACATAAAAAATATAACGGATCAACGCACTTTGTATTAAAAAGATCAAAATGTCCTTCAATCAATAATTAATATTCTACCTTAACATCTCCGATCTGCTTCTAGAATAACAAGTTTAAAATGTTAGTTTAACCATTTTGATTTTAATAAAAGAAAAGTTACCTCAATAAATTAATACTTAACAAAACATATAAATATGATAAGGATGGCCATATAGCATACATGATATGCTGAATGAATGTGTCAATTCAATGTAATTTTATGTAGAGCTAGCTTCTTGATCAATAACTTGATTATTATGATTATGATTATGACCATAATTTGATCTTATACAAACTAGCTAGGATTATCTAGCCAATTGTTGTTGACAAGAAATAGTGCAAAGATGAAATTACGGAAGCTAGCTAGCTAGGGAAGAATTCATATGATAATTGTTTTTAATCTAAGAATTTGAGTTGCTAGCTTTAATTTCAACCCTTTATTTATCTTCTATCCTCTTACCCTTTGCCAAGTTTCACTGAATGACAAAGTTTTCAAATAAGTGGGCTTGTCATTTATTTATAAATTGATGGATCTGATTTGACTTTACGGTACAATTATATATATATATATATATATATATATATATATATATATATATATAATCTAGATAAATGATTAAGGTGATGATGGAGAGATAAATCAAGCCTCACCGTAAGTAATCATGTGTGACAGTGTGAGTGTTTAGTTTTAATTTGTTTATTTATAGTACTATTGTAGTTAAATATCATATAGTTATATATTTATTAACTGAATGACTATGTTAATTACTTGGTATTACTTCATCTTTGTATCAAGCAAATATATGGAATTGCCACAAAAAAAAAAAAAAAAAATCAGATTAATCAAACTTTTATGTGGCCCCTTTTTTATCGTTTCAAAAAGTATTATTTGATTATATAATATAAGCACTGTGTGAAAAGTGATATGATATGTTGTCGCGATGTAGATGATATCATAGGATTAGGTATCCTAGATTGTGATTCGACCTTGGGAAAAGTTGATTAAGAATCTTAATTAGCATAAACTAAGGACTTAAGCATCAATCTTGTCTCTTTAATGAAGTGATTTTAGTGATCTTTAATTGCCAATCTAATTAATTATACCTAAAACTCTTATTGGATTTTGTGGAGCCAAAGGTTTTGTTGATGCTTTATTCTTGCCCCACTAAAACCACAAGTACTTCATGTGCAGAAGATAATGAACCGGATTTGCACTGTCGGATTGTGCGATTCTCACATGGAGATGATATTAGTAAACGCTAATTAACGTCAATAATAATCTATTCTTAATCATGACAAATCTTATTTGCTTGCTAGTTTTATGAATGCACAATAATTAATGTTGTCAATGTATGTATAATTGTATATGTACACAAATGATAGTTAGTTGTAAAATGATACTTGAGCTAGAGACGAGGTGTTCTTTCTGACTACGTAGTAATTCTCACCGAAAGTACTAATGATATTTATCTAGACCTAAGAGGGGAGCTCATACTATGTTAGAAGGAGGTTTAGAGGGTCAAATTTAATCAAGTTTATGTCATTAAAGCGTGACACTGACTATTAAAAAAATATAAGAAAATAAAGTTACACATTTGATCGATCTTGAATTGACAATTGCTACTACATGTTGTGCAGTCTTACATTTTTGTAAAATTGCACATTCATTAGTAATATATAACTTTTGGTATAGTGGTAAGCATTTAATCTCCCCATCCTAAAAAACCAATATATATAATGGGGAATTCTATTTGCACCACCCTAATTGCTATTTACACCACCATTTGATAGGTGTAATATCTTTATAGGTAGTGTAAATAGAAAAATGTTATTTGCACCGCACCACCTTCATTAAGTGTAGTCAAACATTATATTTTTTAAAAAAATATTTATTAATTTTTTTTATTTAAAAATAAAAACATTATTAAAAAAAAAAACAAAACAAAACAAAAAACATCCCCTCGCCTTCTCTGGTGAGAAGGCAGCCCAATGGGTCTCCTTCTCCGGTGAGAAGGCGACCGTACCCACTGGACTGCCTTCTCACCGGAGAATGCGAGAAGTTTTTTTTTTTAATGTTTTAATTAATTTAAAAAATTATTAATACAATCTCGTAAATCATATTTGACCAGAATAGTGTAAATAACAATATGAACACCCATATGGCAATTTACACTACCTATAAGATTGTTGAATTTATTATCATTTTTACAATTCCAATATATTTTATACATACTTTTCATTTAACTAGAGGTGGTACAAATACAAACACCCTATATAATAATCCATTAACAACAAGACAAACGGTTACTAGTAATATTAAAAATCTAAGTTAGATTTGTAATCGATTTGATTTAGAAATTTGATAAATTAGAAGAGGTAGTAGTGTGAACATTGAACAGAGATCGATGGAGATCAATTTTGTTGCTGCTCAAAACCCTAAGTACATAGGAAATCTTTGATTAGCTGGACTTGCAGACGACAAAAAAGATACAATCAAGTTTTTTAAATCT